GCGGCTGGGTCCCCGTTACGGCGCAGCCATGGAGCGCCCGGCGCCTCTCCTCGCACTGAAACTTTGCCAAGAGTGCGCGGGCCCGACAGGCTCTGTGTCATCTTTCTTGAACCGAACCTGGAGTTTCCGCTGCTAATTCCTCTCCCGCCGCAGCCATTGGCTGCGATCAACAAGCCTCTCTCCTCTCATTGGCTCCCGGCTTTCAATAAAGGCCTAATTCATGGAAATAGGAGCTTAGGGACTGTTCCAAGGTGACATCATTTTAACAAACGAACAATAGGTCAAATTTATTAGCCGGGATAATGGGCGGCGGATATTAGCGCCCGAACCGCAGCCTTCCAAACTCGAAATCGAACGAAGCTGCAATTAGCAGACACTCCCCGCTCCTCCTGCCCGGGACCGCTTCCCTGCCACCCTGCTCGGCGGATAGGACGTCTGTTTGTGAAATTGTCTTTTGCTGAGAGGGTTTTCGTTTTCTCCCAATTTTTTTTTTTTTCCAATTTGAGCAAAAACCTACCCCGGTGAATGTTTTCGATTACAACGGAGTTGCGGCCTAAAAGACTCTGCGGAATTTGCGGAAGCCTCTTGGACACTAGATCTCTGCGGGAGCAACGAAAAAGGCGCCACCCGGAGCGCTAGCTCCGCGCTCAGTGCGCGCGGGCGGAGGGCAACACCGTTGCGTTCTCTATGCGACTGAGGACACCGACCCGCGTGGGGAGAATTCCCCCCTCCGAGGCTGTGGTCGCGGCGTCGCGGCCACTTTGGAGACGGTCCCTGGCTCCCGCCAGGCTGACCAAGGCGTGACTCGCAGGTGCCCAAGCATGCCGGGCTCGGCTGGATAGGGTCTCGAAGTCAATCAGTAGGGAGCGGGGCTCCTGCCCCTTGAAATTCGTTGCACGGTAGAGGGGTTGTGGTTGCGTGTGGGACCTGTGCGAGGCGCGCCGGGTGTAGGGACCTCGGGTTCCCGATAAGCAATAGCAGGACGGCTCATATTTAGGCAAACTGGGAATTCTTTGGGAAATGCGATTAGCAAGCCCTTCCCGGCTTCAGTCCTGCCCGAGAGCTGGGACCACTCCGTGCTCTGCTGGTACACCAAGGACTGTCCTAGGGCCCAGAGGCACACTGCCAGGGACCGTAGGTGGAGCGGTCACCTTCCGCTCCAGGCCGGGGAACGCATGCAGATCACTCCCCACCCCAATTTTAAAATCGTTAGCTGCAAACTCTGAGTGCTACAGTTCTGGTCTGGCCTTTTCCGCTTGCTCTTGGTCTGCAGGGGTAGCGAGGGAGTGCAGAGGTGCTGCTGGTAAGACAGAAGTACGTTCACGTTTGGGTCGGTCACTTCCTGGCTGAGTAACCTTGAGCCAGCGACTCCTTCTCTTTAGACTTGAGGATTTAAAAAAAAAAATTATAAGGTGAGGAATGATGGTGTGTGCATTGTGGGATGTTTGCGAGCTGCGAGGGAGGCGTAGAGAGAACACAGTGAGCATGGGGCATGGTACATGGTAGGCGCTGGGGGGGGGTCTGTTATTCCCGCATTCTGACCCAACTCCCAGTGTGATGGTTATGTATCACTGTTGCCATCTTTGTTTGTTTTGCTTGTCATTTTATTTTACTTGCAGAGGCGCAATAGCTTGGCTGTATCTGTCCATCAGTGGGGTCACTTTTTTAGAGGACCAGGAGGGGCGAAAGGCTATAGGTTAGGGATTCTTCCTCTCTGCTACCAACAATCCAGAGGCCTCAGGATTTACAGAGAGTGCCTCCGGGCTGGGTGTGGAGTGAAGTTGTCCCCCACCCTACCCGCCTCCCCCGCCCTCCCCCGTGTGACCTTGGGCAAGTTGCTGGTCCTTGCCGAACCTCTGGGGTGGGTGCAAACAGCGAGAGGCCAGCTAGGAAGTGTCCGCTGTGGAGTGCAGGATGCCTGGAGGCTGGGCAAGGCTCCCTCAAGGACAAGGGCCCACAAACTGGCGGATGCTATTGCTTCTGGCTCTGGGGGCCTTCCTGCTTCTAATTCTAGCTCTGTTGCTGTCCACCTGGGGGGCTGTTGGGCCGTCACTGCCCCTCCAGAGTCACACTAGCCCTTTCCTTATTTGTAAAACAGAAAGGGCAATAGCTCCCCCCAGGTGACCTTGAAAACTAAATGAGAGAACATCTGGGGAAGCACCTGAGAGCTCAGTGTGCGCTGGGCCTTCATTTATTCTTCACAGCCATCCAGTGTGGAAAGGGCTGGAACAACCCAGAATTTTGATTGCTGAAGGAACTGAGGCTTGGAGAGTACCAGTGAGCCCTGCTTCAGGGGCTAGAGTTGGCACCTCACTGACTCCACTTTCCTTCTGGCTCCCAGAGCCCTGGATTCCATGCTCTGCCCTGTCACTTCCAGGCATTGTTAAAATGGGGTAATGCGGCCCACCCCACAGAAGTGTGTGGCACAGTTAGGAAGAAGGTGTTAAAATGGTGGCCAGGGCATGTGCTCAAGAATTTCTCAAGTTTGCTAGATGTAGAATTGGCATTTTCCATCCTCTTTGTGCTTCAGTTTCCTCATCTAGTAGCACAGCTATACCAACCTTATAGGATTGAGTCAGCTGGTCCAGGTACAAGCACTAAGCACAGTGCTTGGCATGGATGAGGGCTTCACCACCTCACTGCTGGGGGGCCGGCTTCCTGAGGCCCTGGTTCCTCAGTTGTCCAACCCGAGGAGCTTTGTTCCACTGGTCACAAGTCCGCTTTCATTCCCATTGCAGAACAGGAAGCTGTTAGGCAGCTCAGGACAAGGAGCAAAATGGGGCAAGCAGGACACTAGACCAGGGGTTCTCAAACTGTGTTCCCAGACAATGAATCAGCAGTACCTGGGAATTTGTTAGAAATACAGATTCTTGTGTACTGAATCTGAAATTCTCAGCTGGGCTCAGAACCTGTGTTTTTGTTTTTTTTTTTTAACCAGGGATTGAACTCAGGACCTTGTGCTTGAAAAGTAGGCGGTAGAACCACTGTGCTAAATCCCTGGCAGAACCTATATTTAATAAGCCTTCGAAATGATTCTGATGCCTGCTCGAGTTGAGAAACCAGTACCCAGAATACTGTTTCATCCACATTCTCAAATTGACTGTCATAACATTTTGGGCAGAGATTCTCATAATTTAAAGCTATATTGTTTTTTAATTTTTTTTTTATTTTAACCCTCATTGTGCCTTCTCTTATAACACTTTGCCAAAGGTTTGTCTCTTTTATTGGTCTTCAAAAATGCTGCTGATTTCATTATCCTCTTTTTTGAGGTATCATTTCTTTTATGAAGGTTTTGTTTTTTAAAATTAATTTCTTCTTTCTTTGCTGAGGTAAAATTTTTATTTTCTCAACTTTTCTTTTTTAAAAATGAATGCATTCAGGGCCATTTATTTTTCTCTGAGCACTGGTTTGGCCAAATATACTATGTGTTTCTACGTATTTGTTGTTCCTGAGATTGTAATTTTTGCTGCCCCTTTGTATCTGCTAGCAACTGAACAATGAGAAAGATACACACATACATAGAAAGATTAGAAAATTCAAATTCTAAGAACTAGGGAACTGAGGGCCAGTATTCCTGGGGTTCCAGAAACTTCTAGGCTGCAGTACATCCTCTACTGGTCCCTATGTAAAAGCTGAGAGAGAGGGTAGAGCCTTGCTGGGAGTCAGATAAGAGAGGGTGGGGCTTCAAGCTGAATGCTGGAATTTCCAAGTGGTACATGACCCCAGACACATGAGGCCCAGTTTCCTCCAGATTTATTCTGTCACTGACTTCTGTGTGAATTGGGATCCAACTTCTCTGTCTGTAAAATGGGATAGAGATTGAATCAGTGCATCTAAGTGTGTTTGGATCAGTTACCCTAACTGAAAAACTGATGAAAATATTAGAGCCTACTTACATAGAAAATGATACATGCACATACTTTGTCACATACATAGTGTCACAGGTTGTAGATCTGCCTACATCACCTTGGGTCCTTCCAGTTCCTGTGATGGAAGGCTGTAATGACACCTGCCAGAGTTTATTCACTAACTCATTCAGTAAATTTTTATCTAGTGAAGACCTACTCAAATTTCCTGGACCTGGTCCTGACTTCAGGGCTGTTTCCCTACCTGACAGAGCAGTGCAGTTGGAATCTTTCATCATGGCTGCCCTCAAAAGAAAGGACTTGGAGAGGAAGCTGCCTGAGGGAACCTGGGAGGACTCAACCTGC